TCCTGTGGTTTTTGGTTTCCTAGTACCTCTGCCACTCAGTTTCCTGCATTGTCTCTCCGAAGAACCGTTTGCTTCCACTACTGCCCAGTAAAAGGCAAACCTTATTCGGGAACGGTATCAACATCCAGGTTGAACCAGTTCCCCCAGAAAAGTAGTAGTTCAAATGTGTTCTCAACCTTTTTTTTTTTTTTTTTTAGATTTTATTTATTAATTTATTTGAGAGTGAGAGAGCGAGAGAGCGAGCACAAGCAGGGGGAAGAGCAGAGGGAGAGGGACAAGCAGACTCAGCGCTGAGCACGGAGCCTGATATGGGGCTCTGTCTCATGACCCTGAGATCATGACCTGAAATAAAATCAAGAGTAGGATGCTTAACTGGCTGAGCCACTCAGGTGCCCCAGTGTTCTCATCTTTTAACGGGGCTCTCTGCCTTCAGTTCACTCTTCTTTTCAGTTCACTCTCAACCCAACATAAGTTGAGTTGCAAAATCTTTTTAAAAGATTATGTGATCTTGGGGTGCCTGCGTGGCTCAGTCGTTAAGCGTCTGCCTTCAGCTCAGGTCATGATCCCAGGGTCCTGGGATCAAGCCCCGCATCGGGCTCCTTGCTCAGCGGGGAGCCTGCATCTCCCTCTCCCACTCCCCCTGCTTGTGTTCCCTCTCTCACTGTGTCTCTCTCTGTCAAATAAATAAATAAAATCTTAAAAAAAAAAAAGATTATGTGATCTTTTAAAAATACAAATCAGACCCTCCATCCTTTCAGTAAAATTGTGCCGTGGCTCCTCATAACCTTCAGAATAAAGCCTGAATTTCTTGATCTCAAAGCCTGAGACATCAAGCTCTCAGAAACCACAGGCCCAATTAAACAGTGATATGCATTTCTCCACACTTCTTAGATTGCATGGTAAAAACATATTACACTGAATATTTTAATCTGCTTTGCAATTTCTCAGAGAAATGGAGATATTATTAAATAAATCACTAGTTGGATTTTTTGGGGGGGAGAGAGTGGAAAATAGAATTGGATAAATGCTTGTTAATGCTATTTATATGTAGTACTTGGATTAACAAGCCTTTGAAAGACCCAGTACTTTACGTATCTTGTACAAACTGATTTAAAATCTTGGGTTATACATATCTAGATTGCATCTAGTGTTTAATCAATTGGACACTTACAAATAATGGGGAAATGATTTGTTGTCATACAGTTGAGCTCTGCTTTCCATGCAGTGAGACTAACATTTTTATTTTAACACTTATGCAATTGATTGTAAACTTCGGGGTTATATAATTTAAGTGGATCTAAACAGTCCATTAGCCATGTCAGTGCATGCTCTCTTGCCAAGTTGGAGCTTTATGCTAAGCTGTTGTGCACTCTGTTACATAATCCTCTGCATCCATTGTCTCTACCTATTTTGCTTGAATACATACAAGGTGACTGCATTGTCTCTTCAACCTCCTTCTCAGTGTAAACACTAAATATAGAAAACAAATTTGGGGCAATATTACATTTTTCTAATGGAGAGTTTGGAGAATTGAATGGGCTTAGAAATGTGTTTGTCACTATTTGCCACTAGTTTTGCACCTTTTATTTATGTTCATTGTCAATTTAGTATGGCTTGCAAGGTGATAAGGCAGTGCTTAAGCTTTGGCTACTGGAAGGAAATTAAGAAAGATTGGGATCTTAGGAGAAATCAGTTGTGAGATTATGCAAAGGAACGCTTTCTTCAACGTTCTCACTCTTTTTTCTTCCATGCCCCTCATTTGCTCTTTTAAAGACCAGGTCAAGCACTGTCAATGCCTCTCCTCCCCACACAGTCAGGAGGAAGGTATCCCATGCATTAAAAATGTTACAATTTGGCTTATCTAGAATATGACTCAGAGAGTAGCTTTCAGGTGTCTCGTGTGTTGACATGTGGAGGAGATAGCAGCATCTGGGGTGATGCTGCTCTTGGTAGCCTCCTCCAGCCCAGGGAAGAGGCAAACCGGGAAAATTCATCATTGAATGAAGAGATTGGGAAGGTTGTGAACGGTTACAACATTTTCCTTAGATTACTTGCAAAGGGATGCACTCAGCTACATAAAGTCTTTGTTGGTGAATTTGCATGGAGATTAGCATAAATATGCATGTGATTTACATAGATTATTTCTCATGGTTGGTTTTATTTCTTGTTTATTTATTGATATTCTCTTCTCTACAATAATGTCATTTTTCTTCTCTGTGCTCCACATAAAACAAATTCTATTGCTTTAAACACACCCAGAATCCAGGGGGAAAGGGGAACATTAATTTTAGTAAGTGTGATTTACGTAGGGTAGGGGGGGAAATACATTTCTGGCTCAATTTATCCAAGGTTTGGGATGGTTTGTAAGTTAATGCATCGCTCTGTGGAATCATTCGTGCTGTTTAGTAGAGTAGGAACAACGTGCTACATCCAAAGTGATGGGTAAAAGGATATTTAGAGAAAAGTCCAGATAGGCACTAGAAGTCCAGAGTAACACCAACTGTGTGGTCTTGGGCAACACTTACTCTTAGTTGTCAGTTTCTTCCTTGTTAAAAAAAAGTGGGTCATTAAATCAGGTAAGCTCTAAAATCCCTTATAAGCTCCAAAACTTATTATTTTTGCATACTCCTTGGTTCAATTACATGACAAATATTAAGCCCCATATAGCACATCAAATAACATCCTGGTGCCTTACTGTTCTGTATCAAACCTTTCCCCCTTGAAGGGTACTCAGTGATTAATTTAAGCATCTTTTTAGAGGCACTCATTTCCTTGTTCATTTTTCTCAGTTCGGTGGGCACATAAGGTCTAACTTAAATGTTTATAGAAGACACCCGTTATTATACCACATGTGGCACCAAGGACAGGCATAGCAGTTGGCTCTGTGCGCATACGTATCCATAGGAAAAAAGTTTATTGGTGAAAACTGAATTTGATTGGCTGTCCTTTACTCTAGGTCAGGTTCACCTCCTGGTCTCCTAAACAGAGGCTCATCCAAATGCATTTTAACACAGTCATTTCTTCAGAAATGAGAGAAGAAATCATGACAATAGACAGGGCACTAGGGGGTTGGATACATCTGTTTCAAACATATAGATGGTATCAAATTGCTGCTCCATGATTTTATTTTTTTAGCTGTTTTGGTAAAAAGCATCAGACGTGGGTTATGTGCCAAGTAGTGCTTGCTGAGACACTGTGGTCATTTATAGGTGGACAGGTCCCTTTTGCTTATACCAGCGTGTGTGCGTGCGTGCGTGCGTGCGCGTGCACGCATGTGTGTGCACACAAACAGAGATATGCAGGTAGATACATCATTGAGACCCTCTGAAATACACAGGACAAGCCTGATCTCTTCTTTAACTCTCTGGAGTACAAAGTTGAGGTTCGTGTTTTAAGGCTGTCATGATTCTATAATTAGTTTAATATAGACTGTAGTGGGTGGTCATCTCTCCCATATGATGAGTGCTTCCTCTACAGTTCTTACCTAATCATGAGAATATATTTATTTTATGTAAGTGACTTACCAAGGGCTGTGATGGTTGATAAGGTTCTAAGTTGAGGTGGAATTGACTTTGGTCACGAAGGCTGAAGTGTAGTTCTAGAAGAGAAAATAGAACTTGCCCAACCTTATTTTGTAACCCCCTCTCTGTAATGGGAAACTGCCTATCCAACCTTGTATTGTTGCCCATTTTCTTTCATGATGAGGTGCTTTTGCTAGCTTTTGGCCAACCCTGATATGCAGTAGGCCACTCTCAGTCAGACTGCCTGGTAGGGGGACAAGTGGGTTTTGAAATTATAAATTACATCAACAAATGGTTAAATAAAACATGTCATTACCTTGATAAATACACCTTTGAAACTACCTGGTAAGCCAGGTGCACACTTAGAATTGTTGGATTCCTCAGAGTTCTATCCTGGGATATGCTAGCGCAGGGAGAACCAGCCCCTCTGGTTGTCAACCTGTGGCCTGTCCCCTTCCTCTTTCCACCTTTGGCTCCATACTGCATCCACAGGGGCTCTGGTATAAATGCACGTGGACGCCCACGTGGCCAAGCTCTGTCTAACTCCCTGCAAATGGTCCCCCATTGCTAGTTCTCAGACCTTGAGGTATGCACACTGATGGCATGATTTGCTGTTGGAAAATGAGTCCAGGGCAGAGCCTTGCAGAAGCCCTGGAAACAGGCCTGGGGCTTCTTGGGTAGGGAATTAGAGGATCCCATGGTGTGGCCTTGAAGGAGAGTATACACTCCAGTGGAATGCTGTCTTGACCCTGGATGTTCTATAGGATGGTCCGACCAGTGCCATCTAAATTGGGAGACCCTAGAGCAGAGATCCCTTTGGATCGAAAGGGAGCTATTGCTCTCTTGTCAAAGCGTATCACCAAATTCCATTCTGTCCCCTTTCCCTCATCTGCTTAATCACCTTCTCAGGTCCAACCTCCTATTTAATAACCCTGTCACATTCCGCTGGGCTCAGGACTCTACCATGGAAACCAAAGTTAGCTGGGTTATTGATGGATGGAAATTAGAGCCAGATCTTTCAGGGTAATTGATTTTTAGTTATTAGTCAATAAAAGGTACCTGGAGCTAAAGAACCCTTTGTGAGAAGAGTTAATTTTCCATTCTACATGAGCTCTCGGACAAGCATTTAAAAGCCATCATTGAAGCAAAAGCAACGTAAACCTCACTCTACCATTTTGCATAAAATTCCCCTCTAGGTTTTTCTCTGGGAAAATGGGAAGGAAAGGCAGCAAGCTCTCCTACGCCATCACTTTGGTCTTCCACCCTTGTGAGGATAGATAGCTCCTCGGCAGTTACTGTCTCTCGCGGTTTCCCTAGTACTTAGACACAGGTCTGGTGGAAGCATTGGAGGGAGCTCATGTGGATAGCAGCTCCCTGGCAGGGGCACTGCCCTGGGGGGCCGTGTTCTCTTTGGTATTTGCGTACTCCTGACTCATGCCAGTCAGGTGGTGACTGCTCGCCTCTTTCCTTTTCACGCAGCCCGAGAGGAGAATGTGGCCACTTTTCGAGGCTCCGAGTACCTGTGCTACGACCTGTCTCAGAACCCGATCCAGAGCAGCAGTGATGAAATCACCCTCTCCTTTAAGACCTGGCAGCGGAACGGGCTCATCCTGCACACGGGCAAGTCAGCTGACTATGTCAACCTGGCTCTGAAGGATGGCGCGGTCTCCTTGGTCATTAACCTGGGGTCCGGGGCCTTTGAGGCCATCGTGGAGCCAGTGAATGGAAAATTCAACGACAACGCCTGGCATGATGTCAAAGTCACGCGTAACCTCCGGCAGGTAATGGCGGAGGGGAGAGAGTGCCCGGAGGCTCCTCTTGGGTAGTGGGGCAGGAGGTTAGTGAAGCAGGTGCTGGACGAACTGGAGAAGGGTATAGATACAGCTTTGGATTTGTCGAAGCCTAACGTTCTCCCCAGTCTTTGCAGTTTCACAAGGAAAAATTATGAAAATATGTTTGTCCTCCTACTTCAGTTCTCCACTTATGCTTGTTTTTTTTTTTTTAGAAAAAAATTCAGTTGTGTAGATAATAAAAGTAATAAATACTTTCCTTTTATTCTGCTTTCCTTTTTATCATTTTCTTAATTACGTTTGAATCTTGTATTATTGTCAAATTCAATTAGGGACAGCGTTTTGTTTCTGCAGCTTGCTAGATTTTCCTCATTTTCTGAATATATGTTTTTCTTTTTAGTTAAGTTAGCCATTGCCATGATGCCATGATTTTAATTCTTTCCAGAAAAAAGTCTTCCTTTTTCTCGTCCTTTTAATTTACCGCCCCTCCTCTGCTTTCATTTTTTTTTTCTGTTGTTATGTTAATCTATAGCCTTAGAATGAATTAGCTGGAATCTTTCTGAATTCCTCTGTTTCTCTGTTCCTTGGTGCGGTGGTCCTACTTTATTGCCCCCGTCTCTACCTCGGAGGCTCTTCAGTTGACTGGGAGGCCTGGAAAGTGGAAGGATCCAAATAAAAAAGTCAACTTCGGAGCAGCCTTTCCTGGTTCTGTTCGTGCTTGAGAACTCCCATCGCTTGCCGATTCTAAGCAGGCAACTCCGTCAGGTGACAACGCTCTCAGAAAGCCTTAGCCAAGTGAAGTTGTTTTCAGTTTCACAATGAATAATAACAGTCACAACAGTAATAATAATAACACCTCACCAGCCCACATCAGTGAAGAAGAAAAGCATTTCCTATAAAAGTCAAGGTCTGTGCTGATGCCTCTTTCCGGGTTGCTATTTGCACTTGGTTTTTCTCCTTGTGATTTTGTCACTAAACCCAGTTAGACAGGGTTAATCCTTTATTAATCAGAAAACATTATGCAAATTTCCAGAGAGTGCTTATTAGATTTTCTTCTGCAATGTGATTGATTTAATGCCTTCTAATGTAAATATGAAAGCGTAAGAACGGACAAGTGTTTGCATATGTTTTCTGTTTGATAAAAGGGTGACTCCTTAGTATTGCTAAGTGAACAGAGAAGGTTCACAGGCACTGGGAACTCACAATATTCAAAACACCCATTGTAATGCTTAAGTATGTTGAGGAAGCCACCCGGTTGGGAGATGGTCTTCTATCTGTGGTGATGTTACCAAATCACACAAGTCTTAGAGCCCCCAGTCCTCTTAATACCCCTGGACTGGACATTTTTGAATCACTGTTCTGTTTTTCCACCAAGGCCAAAGGATCCAATTGCTAATGTTTTCTTTAATAATACCCCATCCATACTTAGTCAGCTCAGCTCAGCTGTCAAGAGGGCCCCAGTCGAATTTCCATTTGCTAACATATAAAGGCGTGATGTGTTTGAGTTGCAGAGACTAGTCCAAAAAGTAAAATATGACCAGTTTTGGCTGGCAGGTACACAGTAACACCCTTTAGGCTGTAGGGGAGGGGAGAATTTTCATACATGACAGGGGAACAGGGTCAGGTTGTGATTCTCACCAACCAGTCTGTTTCTCTGGTTCTCTCCCTCTCCCTGTACTTCCTTGCCATTCTAGAACGATTCCAATTAGCTGGAGAAAGGCTCACTTTTATTTCCACTAAAAACACTTTTCTAAAATAGAATTGGCCCCCAGTTCCAGCCTTTAAACCGAGTGGGGGATAAACCAAGCTGTTCTTCAAACATTGGTTGTGCTGTTTTAGTCAGAGCAAGCAGAGGAGAGCAATCCTGGAGGGTTTCTCTTCCAAGTTCTAAGACCCAGCTCCCTCAGTGCCCTTGGACAAACCATTTAACCTTGCCACACCACAGTTTCCATTTGTGTGAAATGGTGATTACAATTGTCCCCAGCCATGTGTGCTGGCTAAATATGCAAAGCACCTTATGTTCCAGAAGGATTATGAGCTCCTCCATGGTCTGGGTGCTAGACTCACTGTGACATGCCCACGATTTATAAGCTGAGTATTCTGTTGTGAAGGTGACTGTGTCTGTCTGTCACCAACGATGCTGCTAAACAGAGCTCTCAGTTCTGGACAAGGCGACAGAGGCCTGAGAGTGTTGGGGGGCATTTCTTGGCAGAGGGAATATGAATCTCATAGAGGAAGTGCCCCTAAAATTGGTCTTTAATGAAATCCTGACTGAATTTTGCATCCAAATGCAATTTATTGAAAGAGAGGGAAATCTCCGAAAAGCAGAGTTGATTTTGCAAATGTAATCCTTTCAGTGCTGAATCATCTAAGATTATTATTTTGACCATTAAAAATACATTTATAACATCTTCTTTAGTTCTGTAGGAGACAACTGAAGGGGTTGGAAGCCCCTGTCTATTTCAATTAAACTGTAAATTGCTTCATAAATATTTGATAACAAGCTTGTTACTGTCTCATCTACTTTTTTGGTAAGGTCGAATGGTTTCTGTGGCAAAAACTCATCCGAGGAATGCTTACTTGGAGTTTCCTGGAGTATTCATTACTAAATGGAGCAGAACTTTGCCCATTTCTTCCTTCTTGGTCATCTACTCATGGTTCAACCTTTGATCCAAGTCAGGACTGAGGCCAGCTACTTTACTGGGGCTTCTGACTAAAGGAAGGAATGTGAACTCTGTTCCAAACTGTCACTGGGATTAGGGACCAAGGTAGTGATGTGTTTCTCTGGGTTTGTTTTTGGTCTGTTTTAAAACCCATGACCTTGAATATGGCCCTCATGTGAATTGTTTTACCTCTAATGCCGCTTTAGTGAAACCACAAACACAAAACTGGGGTTACTGATCTTCCAGCCTTCCAGCCTCCCAGCTCAGGGTGTATTAGCCATTTAGCATTTGAAAATAGTCAGAGGAGACAAATTGTAGGGCTTCTTTAATCATGTTTAACCTGCCAGTCCTCTCTGTTATCCATACAAGAAATTGCTTAAAAGCCTGAAAACCATTTTCTAAAGGGGGATGGGGGGAGAGCAATTCCAACGGGCAGCATTCTGGCAAAGAAAACAAAACAATAACTACATTGGGAAATAAAGAAGACTCCCAACTATTCTGATGCACTCCGACAACACAGTTATTGTCGACCAAGAGGAAAGCAGAGAGGAGAATGTCCTCCTCCAGCTGCACATATCCACACAAAATCAAGGGAGTCATGGATCTTTAATCATCTATGGAAACCCAGAATAAGCTACATCATGTAGCCTTCCTATGCTAGAGGCGACCTATAGATGCTTTATGTTTTTTTTGTTGTTCTATTGAAAGTCATAATCATCCATGCATGTAGTCAGAGTCAGATATATCTATAAAAAAAAAAGTCCCCAGAATATTGGTATTTTAGCTCTACCTATCTATCTACCTACATGTGAAATGATAAACTTCAGGGGTGTTTTTTTTTTCAGGATAGGTGGGCTGTGTATGTGCTAGAGGGTGGGAAGGGAAAATGGTGTTCATTCAGAAGAGCCCTTGGAAAGTAAGTATGATGCTAATTCTAACTGGGGTGAGGTCTGGTTTGAGCAGTGTTTGGAAGAAGGGGGAGTTCAATGACACGGTGGATTGCAGCTCCTTTCCTGGCTCTGCCCTGGCTGCCAAGGTTTCCATAGAGTCCTGGTCTCATTGTCTTCCCCACTCTCTTTTTCTGTGTCGGGTGCCTTTTTTTTGAAAAACTAACACAAGATCATTCATGCAATGTGTCATTTTACTAACCGACTAATGTACTAACACCCTAACGACTCATCTTTGTTTTTAGTTTTTTTAATTAACAATCGTTCTGTTCACAATTTTTAATTTCCTTTCTTCCCCCTTTTCCGCAAAGCACTCAGGCATCGGACACGCTATGGTAAACAAACTACATTGTCTGGTAGATATCATTCTTATTGTCTCTTTTTTTGGGTTTGCCGTGTGTTGCCCCCCTTTTCCTTCCCAAACCCCCCTTTTATCCTCCTTAGACTCCTTTCTTCTTCTTTTAAAATTTTTTTGTTGGATTAAATGCAAGCCTTTCTTTTTTTGTTAAAAAAAGAAAAAAAAAATGGAAGGGGACGTGCCTGTCCTGGAAATGATATTTGGCGGAGTTTGGCTGGGACAGTTTCCTTTTCTCCAGTTTGTCATTTTTTTTCCCCCTAAAAGTATTTTTTTAAAAAGATTCCCCATTTAGCTAAATTTGTTTTGTTTTGTTTTCTTATTTTGCAACTTCCAAGTTACAGACTAGGGACAACAGGCTTTCTATTGAGGACTTTCTTCTCTCTCTGTCTCCTTGTCCCCTCTCACTGTTCCTCCTTTCTCTTCCCTCCTCCCCACTCCTGAAGCCCATTTTTCTTTCCCTTTGGTGTGGCCACGGGCTGCCACAGGTGATCTGGGGAGGAAAGTACTCTATTTCCTCTGTTCTTCCTTTCCCGGCTTTCACCCTATTCCCCACCGTGGCCAAAGGGAGCTCTGCCAGTGTGTTCTCCGTACAGACTCTGCATGGCATGTTCCTGTCTCGTGGATTTCCCCATGGACATCAGAGTTTGTCCCACCATTTTCCTCCTCATTACTAACAACCTGTCAATCATCAGCCCAGTTCCACACTCTTTTCTCTCTTCATTTTTGTCTCCACTCTTCTTCATTCTCCTCTCATCCTTCATATATTTTGGGGTTGGGTTTGGACTTTTTCTTTTCTTTTCTTTTCTTTTTTTTTTTAGTGAGGGAGGTGGCAGGCAGGGGAAAGACAACCCTTTAGTTTTGAGTGGTTTGGGTTTTGTTTTGTTTTGTTTTTTTTTTGGTTGTTTGTTTTTACCACCATCTTGTGTTCCACTTTGTTCAGTGCATGTAAGTGTGAAGAGGATTTTGATTCTTCCCTTTGGTTTTCCTCACCCCTGCCCACTTCCCTGCCCTTTATCTTCTGCCTTTTCTCTTGGCTCCTGATGGTTTTCGCATGGGTGTGTCAGCATATGGTGCGTGCACGCTTTGAGGCCCCATCTTTTCTCTTTGCCCTCTGCTCCTTTCATGGATTTTGGGCGTGTGGGTGCTGTTTCTTCCCTGTGGGCATTCTTATTATTTTTATTTTGGTTATTATGCCTCATATTCCTTTCTTTTTGTTAGAGTTGCCTTTTTGGTTTGGGTCATTTCTCCTTTTGGTGGTGGTGATGGCAGTGAAGGGAGGGCAGGGGTTGGTGTCCTGGGGGTAGTCCATGGCATGTACCATCCATGACATATCAAAAATGAGACCCTTCTCCTTCCCTCCCCGAATGCATGTTTGTCAGCGTGGTGTGATCCCCCAAAGAAACGAATAAAAAGAAAAGAAAAAAAGAAAAGAAAAAAGGAAAAAAAACCATCCACCACCAAAGACCAACCCTAACAAACCCCATTGTCAAATGTCTCCTTTGCTGTTTCTCACTACCACCATAAATAACAATCATTCAAAAAATAAACAATCATTTTACCAATGAACTGAGACAAGTGATGTCGTCTGAGGATAGTTCCATTTTCTAGCCTGACTGAGTAAAGAGTGCAGTGGGTAGAGCAAGTTGCTCATCTTGGCAATTCCCCCAAAGTCTCCTGGGAGTCTGCAGAGGAAAGCTGGAGGCTTGGGTTGCAGGGAAGGCAGACCAGAAAATGGAACTTGGCTGCGCCTACCAAAATCAAACCAAATTAGAAAGAATACCTCACCAAAATCTTAATGAAAGTGATGCCACAGGTAGGGGAAGCCACCGGGTTTTGATAGGACTGTAAAGTCATTGTTGGGACTTTTTTTTGTCCCTATGTCCCTCCACCAGGTGACAATCTCTGTGGATGGCATCCTTACCACGACGGGCTACACTCAAGAGGACTACACCATGCTGGGCTCGGACGACTTCTTCTACGTGGGAGGAAGCCCAAGTACTGCTGACTTGCCAGGCTCACCCGTCAGCAACAACTTCATGGGCTGCCTTAAAGAGGTAACGGTCATATGCTCTCTTTAATTCATTGACTGTCCCAAGAACAAATGAATTTCCAGTTCAATGAGGGGCTCTGTCCTCTAATCCATTCTTTGAGGCCATAGGTTGTAGCAAAAAAGACTTTGGACTTGGAAGTAAGGTCCTAGGTTTTGGTTCCTGCTTAAGCTGGTTGCATGACCTTGGGTTTGCCACTTACATATCTTGTGATTCTGTTTCCTCATCTGCCTAATGGGATACTGTATCCCACAGGTAGAGGTGCTTTATAAATTAAACGAAACAACAGAGTTGAAAGGACTTCGATATCACAAGAACTATACCTTGTAAAGTTTGATTTCCTACTTCGACTTGGCAAATAGGGAAGCTCTAGCTAAAAGTAGCTCAATTTGTGGTTGTGTATCTTGTCTAAAGCATAACATATGTATTATTTTACCTTTGCCAAGCTTGGTGTTCCCAAGATTCTCATTATTTGAGATAAAAGAAAATTTTCAGAATGTAACATTAAGGCCCAGAAAACTGTTTTTTCCTTTTCCTTTTTTCTTTTTTTATCCCCTGAAAGCTAGCAGCTGTGAGAAAGCAGTGGGGCTTTGCCATTACTCATTTATTACTATTGTAGCTTATGTGTTGAGACCTCTGTCTGAGAGCAGAGGAACTTCAGTCAAGTGTAAGTTCTCTAAGGTCAATTGTTGAGGCAAAGAGAATCAGACTTGATTTGGTAGAGTTCTTTCAGAATACTCTGTCATTCGAGCTGTGAACTGCACATTTTTGTTTAATCTAAGCTAAGCCTGATTGCCTGAGATATCTATACCCCTTCCCTGGGGAAATTCCTTGAGACGCTAACAGTGTTCTTTCTTGTAGATAAAGATCCCTTGTGACATGTTATGAGACTCCTCTCAGGGCACATGTTTTATTCTGATTATGGTTATTTGAAATTTGTTGAACATCGGCTATCATACAAGATGGCATTGTACATGCGTGCATTCATGCCACTTGACTGTGAGCCATGTCAAAACAGGAGTTGGGTCCATTATGCCTGGTATATAGTAGATGCATAATAAGTATTTCTGGAGTGGATACATTTATCAAGTCATCATTGGGCACCGTGTTTGTATTGTAACTGAACTTAGCTGCTCTTTCCAAGCCGTGGTCTCCGTGCTTGAGGACTTTATGATCTAGGAAGGGAGATGAGATCTGGAGGTAAGCGAGTACAGCTCAGGACACTGTGTGTTCAGTGCCACAGACCAAATGTCCTAATTGAGTAGAATTAGAGGAAACAGATACATTTTAGGGGGAAGTCCGTTTCAGAGAAGAATTGATATTTGAGCTGGACCTTGAGGCAGTAAACGTGTGTGAGTTGAGAGGAAGGGGTAGGAAAGAGAGACATGACAAAGGAGGGAAAAATCCAATTATAGCTCTGTGTTGTTCTTGGTCTGAAGGACAAATTATGGAAGAGAACCCCAGAAAGGGTTCCCTCTTTCTGCTGGACATTAGCTAGCCTTCCGCCAGCTGCAGGGACGCCAGTGGTCATTCCTGACAGAATTGCAGGAGACAGAGAACACTGCCGCTCTGGGATTTACTCCCATTTGGATAGAAAAAAGGTATAAACTGCTCAGCATCTAATGACCCTGAAAGATGCTTAAACAGTGTTAAATCACACACACTGGCATTGTACTTTTGTTAGGATTAGATAGGAACATTCTGCTACCACGGACGTGGCTCAGGAATGAATGAGGCATTGATTGCTGTGGAGAGCTCATACATTTGTGGGTAGTGAAACAGCCTTGAGCGTGGACAGGATTTCTCCCGGACAGGATCTAGGGGTGGCCTCTAGAACTAATTTTCCCCTGTACACAATTATGTTGCACCATCTCTCAATTATGTATTTTGAGACAAAGGGCAATTTCCCAACTGCAAATTATCAATCCGGAAGGATGCTCCTGAACATTTTGAAACAAAGCTCATAAAAACACAAAGGTATCTCTGATGGCTCCATCCACACAAAACCTAAAGTAAATAAAATCTGTATGCACACACACACACATGCACACATATTGCCCAGGTGTAGAGCAGAAAGCTTCAAAAGCCCATAAAAAGTGTTACTATAAGCTTGAAAATTAAAGGCAGTTCTGAAAAACGGTGTCAGTAACAGAAATAATTAGTACTTAGTAGTAAAAATATATACATAACTAGCAGCATAAATCTGCATTTAAACCCAGATCAAGTCAGAAAAAAGAAAGTCCAGCCCATGCTGGAGGAAACGGTAGGCAAAATGAGAACTCTGTTAACTTATAACCTCATCTCTCTGTTACATACAGTATTGTGGTGTTTCTAAGGGATCTGGGAAGCTTTCTCCTCTGTCTGAGTGTCTTAAACAGGTAACTTGGAGTCTCATGTAGTCCTGGCATATTCTTTCTTTCTGCTTAATCCTTACAGTTCACTTTTTTGTAGGGCAGGTCTGGGAAATTCTTCTCTTGTTCTTGGTATTTGTCGTTGACATTTAGTGAACGGCGGAAGCTTCCAGCTAGGTTGGGATTTCTCTCCTTGATAAATCCCACCTACCTACTTTTAACTATTTACACTTAGAACAGTGTCTAGTTATTTAACAAGCCCTTCTTCCCTATCTCTTTCTTCCTTTTTCTGTCTTTGCTTGCCTTTTGTGGCTCTGTGTTGCCTTAAGCTGAGCTGGGTACTTTCATGTATTTTTTCTTCAAAATGGGGACATGGTAAAAGGACTTCAGTTTCTCTTCCAGATCGTGGATAACTTTGTGTGTGGTACAAAATAGGCTTTATCTTTGGAACTACAGTTACTTCAACACTCAAAAGTTAAGTTCTGGCTCCACTGTTGAGTAGAATGATTGTGGTTTTCACCTGGGTGTACTAGCTTCCTAGCTTCCTACTGCTGTAAAAGCCACGACAAAGACTATCCAAATTGTCCTCGGACTGTTGTGGTTCTCCCCACACCCTAGTTACCAATACAAGATTTGTGTACACTTAAAAACTAGTTATCAGTACAAGATTTGTGTACACTTGAAAACTACCAGCTCAACATCGTGTTGCTTGTTGTGTTTCCATGTTTTCTTTTCTTTCTTTTAAGATTTTACTTATTTATTTGATAGAGAGAGAGAGAGCACAAGCAGGGGGGTAGTAGTAGAGGGAGAGGGAGAAGCAGACTCCCCTGCTGAGCAGGGAGCCCAACAATGGGGCTCAATCCCAGGACCCTGAGATCGTGACCTGAGCCGAAGGCAGACACTTAACCAACTGAGCCACCCAGGTGCCCCATGTTTCCATGTTTTAACATGTGGGTCTTATTTTTGATCTTTAGGGTTTGTAGCTCCTAGAATGGTTCTTAGCATCTACTGGGCTCTCAGTAAACATTTGCTGAGTGAAATTACGTTTGCAAATTAATTATGTTTAAATAAATAATCTTGGAAATGAACATGTTTGTAAAATTAATATTTTAGATAAATGTTCCAAGTGCTATTAACCATGTGATTTTCTTGGAATCAGTAAAGAACATCTTGACATGGCAACAGTTGAATCTTTCAGGAAGTTCCTAGCTGTCTGATTCAAGAGAAGCATTATATAGAAAGGCTCAGCAAGGCTGAGAGGAGTGGGTTGGAACTTCCTCTAGGAAGAACAGGATTGAAAAGGCTTTGACAGAGGTATCATTGTATAAGGAAAAGAACACTGGGTTTACGGTAAAAAAATCTGGCTGGGAATATAAGCTTTGTCACTGGCTCTATGGCCTGGAATAAACCACCGATCGTATTTGAGTCTGTTTCCTCCCTAACATGGATATACTAGGACCTTTGCTATGTTCTTAAATATTATACATAAAAGTAACACCATACAGACATGTGTATATTGCTATAATGATTATTATTAAGGATTATGTAATACCCCTTATAAACAGTTTATGAATACAAATATAACCATACACTTGTATACATTAGCATGGGCAGTATCTCCATATCTCCTATATTAGCAAGTCACAATCAGAAGAAAAACCAGCCCTTTTCTGAGATTTGCGCTGCTAAAGTCCTTTCATTTTTTTCTGAAGTGGGGAAACCCACCCCACTCGCCCTCAATCATTATCTTGTTTTGTTGCCTTCGGTCATGTATTTGACAACTGTCAATCTCCATCTATTAAAATGTGAGCTAATTCTGTGATGACAAAGTCCTCTTCTGTTCACAGGTGTCTCCCCAGAATCTAGCAGAGTTCCTGGCATTAAAAAAAAACAACACTCATTAAGTATGTCTGGAATAAATAAAGGAATGAATGAGCTAACCTCATGGAGCTCTACAATTTGGTGGAATTTAGATCAACAGATAAATCCTATAACCCTACAGGATACCAGGGACTGTGCTAAATAAGAAAGAAAGATGATTCAGACACAGTTTCCACCTTAGAGGACCACACAGTTAGTGGGGGAGACAGATACATGGGCATAATTTCGATAAAAGATGGTTAGTAAAAAGAGGCATTCACAAGTGCAGTGGGGCTGTTGAAGAGAAGGACTTATATATCCTGGGGTTCAGGAAAGCTCTGTGGAGGAGCTAATGTGAGTCTCGAAGACCAACAGAAGTGAACATGGCAGAATGGAGGGAGTGGAGCTCCAGGACAACGGGGCAGCATGAGCAAAGGCATGGGCGCCGGACTCACAGTAGTGTCTGGGTGAGGAACTTACACTTTGCTCATTTCAGGGCACAAATTATAAGATGAAGAATTTTGAAAATGTAGCTGCAAAGTTAAGTAGGGGCCAGGTCATAGAGAACTTTATCTCATACTCTACCTTTGGACTTTATTTTCTAGGTTAATGGGGAGCTATTGAAAGATCTTAAGTAGTAGAATGACACAGTCAGGTTGGCATCTTATCCATCAGGCTTTAAATTACTTGAGAACTGAAGTTACTCCATTTATTACTTCCAGCTGGTGTATATTTTTGCCCTAGGAAGTTGAAGAGCAGGATTGGGAGGGTTGATCCATTGACTGTGGCCTTGGA